AAAGGTATAAACGTAGAAACCAGACAATGTCCTTTCATAGTTTCATGATGTAATAGATAAAATAAGTAAGAAATAAAAGTATAAACGAGTAACAAAATGTCTAGTAAATTTTACCCCTATGCTATATAAAAAACTTGGGTGTTTAGATTTGCGTCCGCTTTGAAATACAGCTCAAGGCTTCTTAAGCAATATTTAGTGCTTTGTACCAGATATACTCGTATCACTACATATCTAATCGTACAGTTTAATGTTTTATTATACTCATAATATTTTAGTGACTCTACTCGTACATCGTTTTAGTAAAAAATGATAATATATGTATACGATTACCAACAATGTATGTATATTGTGTTTCATAGGAATAGCAAGTTTGCTTTCTGTAGCTCTGTTTTTGAGTTACACTAATTATATCATACAAACGAACAAATTAATAAAAACTTTTTTAAATACGGTAGGGATTAGACAAAATTTTAATTCGTACCTAAGCAGATGCAGGTTCAAATCCAAACTAGATATCTGTACAGGTGATATTATAAGAACAATTACACGCGGATGGAAGTGTCTTTATCTCTATTCCTTGTTAATTCCGATGAGAGATCAGGCGCGGGATTGGTCTTTTTACGTGGGCTCCGAGGCATTACTACCACGGTCCACTCTGCTATCAGAGAAGAACCAGAAGCAATCCGCATAGCACACCGCCCACCGAGGTGGACCGCCTCCCAGTGCGTATTTTGCCTTATTGCCGGCTGTATTGTTGGCACTACTGAGACCCCAGAAGAAGAATAAAAAAGACAACATAAAAATCAGAAAAAGTTTTGTTATGGTCATACATAAAAAATATACTCGTCGACTTAAAAAACTCGTGTATGGACTTTTCATCGGTTAATTTTTTTTTAAATAAAACTATCTTTTCAGATTTTTATGCTGATTTTTGGTTCCCTACATTACGAATGCTGAACAACAATAATTGTCATGGGGGAACTAAAAATCAACATAAAACCTCGAAAAATACTGAAAAGATAGTTTTATTCAAAATGTCGTGTGTATTCACGTAAATCTTAGAAACTATTAGGTCTTTTTTTAAGCTTATTAAGTACTTTCAATGTTCGTATTTACTTAAGTGATCTGTAAGAAAATTTGCAAACCATTTTTCAACCACTTTCTGGTATCCAATTGAAATAAAATTTGGTATACTTATGTATTTCGGGGACAATGAAATATTATGGTACCATCGAGTTGATCTGATGACGGCAACAGGATGTAGGGACTGGAACTTCCTAATGGGATATTGTATGACAGTCGAATTTGGGCTAGTATGTTTTGTTATTTTAAAAATATATTTTATTTTTTGTTTGTGCGATTTTATTATTAACAACTAGTTATTTACTTTTCCTGCGTCGGTAGATCTCATAAACTCCAAAATATGTATATACGTGAATAAGTTATAACTTGGTCACTCAAATAAACTTAGCTTAGTCACTCTAATTAAAAAAACACCGCAACATCAACACGTAGAAATGTGATTCATATTTGAATCATAGGAATTTTTTGAATATATCAGAGCCTAACACGTAGCGAAACAATGAAACAAAAATTTGGCTGAACAATGATTTTTAAGAAACACTATATATATATATATATAGTCCGAATCTCAGGTCGGACAAAATACCCACAGATATTGTGCTTCCTGTCAATAAACTCTCAGTAATAGTCCAGAGTTGGCAAGTTGACGGTGTCTCGCTGACATGCCTCAGAGATTAAGTTTTCTCCGCTTGATCTCTCTTTAAACGGTTTAAAATGAAATTTATTATTTTTTGCAAATATTACTATTTATAATCATAAATAGAAAGGTAGAGACAGATTTTTTTAAAACTTCTTTCGTTTCTTCTTTTCTCTTCTCTTTTTTCTTTTTTATTGTTTATATATTATTATATACTTACATTTAAAGTCTATTTGATAAAATATTCAAAATATAACATTAATTATTATTATTAATTACACACACTCGTACAAATCCAATTATTATGGATAAATCTCATAGAAAACCGTCATATCATCAATCATTTCAATTATTGTCATCTAAACCTGTCAAAATGAAATATTCACAGCACACATCGTCCGTAATTTACAGTTATGGCGAGAATAATAATTAAACATTGTGACTTTATAATAAAATATTGGTTAGACTTAGAATTTGAGGTATCCTACCCGCAGTAAACGATTAGGGAAATTGTCAGAGTTTGCGTGTCGATGGCCGAAGTGCCGGCGATGGGGTGAACTGATTGCTTTCATTAAATATTTACTAAGGACTCTCACTTGACTTCTGTTTGGTAGTGAAGATTGATCGAAGTAAATTTTGTATGAACCTTCACCTTTTAGTGTAAGTTTCATATAATTTGCAAGCATCTATCATCTACATACATATATGTATATAAATAGGCAAAAATAAAATTGGTATCTTTTTTCCTCTGTTTGTCAAGCGATTTTCTTTTTTACCGACGCAAAAACAGGGGTTATTATAAGTTGTAGTGTGTGTCTGTGTATCTATCTATCTGTCTGTGGCATCGGAGCGCCCAAACGTATGAACCTACATTTTTATTATTTTTGTTTGAAAGGTGACTTGATCGATAGTGTTTTTAGCTATAAATGACGAAAATCCGTTCAGCTGTTTGTAGTCCATCAGCTCTTTTCTAAAGGATATGAGCAACATCCATAGATCTAATCCATCCGAAACATGGTATCCCGTTACTTCATTAATATTACAACAATATGCCTTGGCCTGATGTGCAACATCGTTACATAGAATCTGCAAGATACTCAACTCTTTACTAAAATAATGCAGAGGATCCATACACAATGGATAGAATTATAAATTTAATATTGTGTTGGTTTTTTTTTATTTTCAATTTAATTTCTTATTTTTGTTTAGTAGCTATTGGCAAGCTTTAGTGTTATCAATAAAAAAATATTGCAATTTTTTTTTTATTAAAATAGATAAATTCTATTCATATAAATGTTTGCCTCAAAATTTCTTTAATGATTATGGTCGAATATTGACCACTCGGCGAACTTATAAATAGATAAAATTTATATGGGACAACCTGGGAAGTATACCCTTTAAAACAAAACAAACAATTTTCAAATCGGTTTTAGGCGTGTTCGAGTAATCATGCATGATGGGTGAACATACATAAAGAATAGATTCCGACGAATTGAGAACCTCCTCCTTTTTGGAAGTCGGTTAATAATTCAAGAGTATTGTTGTCTGTAGTTATAGAATACCTATTATGATAAAAGTTTAAGCATTATGAAATATAGTTATTAAGCACGTTACCAAAAGAACAATGAACTAAGTTTTATAGGACATAAGCTACTTTTTATCTTTGGCAATAAAAAAAATTCGTGTCCAATAACAAAAACTCATTTATCTATTTTAAAGGGACTTTCGGTAATGGTTATTCGTTCGGAAATGATAAGATTTTTTCTCGGACAAGATGGATTTTAACGATACATATTAAAAAATATATTTTAATACCGATTTCTCATGTACCCCAACTCTGTTTCAACCGTTCGACCCTCGCGCTCGGTAAATGACTGCGTGTTTGGGCATATATGTATGTATGTATCTAGTGTGTGTCCGGACCACAACACAGCATATACAAGTACGTGTAATAAGTTTATTAACTTTAGTGTAATGTTCTTATTTATTTCCTCAATTAGAGAATAGAAGGCTCAGCTGTATTAGTGATACTGTTCTTAAAATGCATCATCGTTTATTTAAATTAAAATTTAATTAAAGTATGTTTATAAGATTAGAGTATTATATTTTTAATAGTATAAAAAATACTTAAGATAAAAAGATATGTTTTTTTTATTTAATTAATAACATCAGTACATAGAACATCAAAATAATATTATCTATACATATAATAAAGTTGTAACTAAGCCGAATCTGTACATTAAATATTTCTTGGAAAACCTTATTGAAATAAACATTATTATTTATTATCGATAACGAGGCCGAATTTAAAGTTTTTAGAATTTTTGTCTGTCCGTCTGTTACCCCTTCACAGAAAAACCACTGGAGGGATTTTGATGAAATTTGGTATGGTGATAGCTGGTTATCCGGGTCAACATATAGGATTCTTTTTACCGCGGGAAGATGTCTCATTTTTGAGAAAAAATACAAAACTGCAATATAAGAGTATATTAATATGTAAAACCTAAGAATTTGGTTTTTGGTCATCTGAACGCGGGCGGAACCGCGGGAATTGCTAATAATCTATAAATGAATAAAAATTAGATGTTGTTTTAAGTGAGTTGTTGGTAAGAGCACAATACTTAAGAATATCTGGACCGATTTGTCCGAAAAATCGTGATAAAATCTGTCCTTTTTTTATAGGTTTTTTGTATTAAGTAAGATCTCAAATAAAATTGAAATTTGAACAGGACAACGTCTGTTTGTAAGGTAATAGTGAGATTGATCGGTAATGTTTTTCAACTTGAGTTTGAATGGCATTGCCTATTAGACCGGGAGTCGCCAGTTCAATCCTCACACAGAGAAGTTTACATTAAGCCTTAACTTAAGCATATACTAAGAATGTAATACGAGTTTAATTAATATTTTGAAACGAGAATAAGTTTGACGGCACAAAATAAAGCTAAAAATATTATGAGATGACATTATTTTCTTAGTAGTGAGTAACAATATTTTACTTTTCCATTTGCCTTTTATCTTTCGACTTTACCTAAGTGTTCGCAACATTTTTCATTAAATATTTAATTTAATTAACTAAATATCTTTTCATTTTAAAACATTAAGACAATATTTTCACGATGTGGATGTGAGTTCTATTTTAATATTTTTTTAAAAGTTTATTTTTATCTAGGAAAAGAAGCTAAAGCATACCTAAGAAACTGTTAAATGAATCTTTTAATGTATAATCTCAGACTAAAGTATGATTCCTTGGTCTGAGCGTATAATATAAAAAAACTTTCACCTGTTATTCCTAGACCTGCTTTTCACACTCTCCTCATCACTCCATTTGCCCAAAACAGGAAGTACTAGCGAGCTGCCGCCTTTTGTTGGGCTAGCGCCGGGCTGCTCTGTACTCCGAGCTTTACGGGTTTTAAGTTCTTTGCCTGGATTCACAAAAATTATACTTTATATATAAATGAAATTAAAAAGTTACGAGCTATAACCAAAAATACACATTAAAAAATATTGCTAATATAATAATTTATTTACGTAAATATTCTCATTAATTTCTTCTACATGAAAAGACAGCTACGTGGAGATTTTCATATATGTATTTAAGTTCATTCTCTCGCTTTCAAACTAAAAAAGTATCTTTATAGATAAGAGTATAATATATACTTCTACACTAATATTATAAAGAAGTAAATTTAGTGAGTTTGTGACGTTGAAGGGGGTAATCTCTGGATCTACTGAACCGATTTAGATGAAATTTGGTAAGAAGATAGTTTGAGACCCTGGGAAGGATATAGGATACTTTTTATTCCGGAAATCATCTCTTGAATGATTAGGTGAAAATAGGGGTGAAAGTTTGAATTGGCAAGCAAGCTATGGACGAACCCGAGCGAAGCGCTAGTATAATATATAAGTAATAGTTAACGCTGTTATAAATGCTTACCGCATCTAGTAGTCGCTACCAGTGTATCGGCGCTCTTAGAAATACTTCTGGATAAAGCAGATGGAGGTGCTTTCATAGGCGTCGCTTGACGATGGTGATACACCATATCCCTCGGCACGGGGTGGAATAGGTGCAGGTTCTTTAAAGCCATACTTCATACCGTCGATTGTTTAGATATAGACACAATTTAAACAATTTACACATTGTTAGTTAATTTATATTCCAAATAATAGAAATTATTTACATAAAATAATGAAATCGGCACCTAGTAATATGCTGTCGTGATAATACAATCGTACAGTAACTCCGTCACAAAAATGCGGGCTTATTGTAGGTTTATTACGCTAATTGCTTGTTATTGGTTTTTTATGTTTATAACTTATTTTAACGATCACTTTTACAACAGCTTTCATAACTAATTTGAGTATGAAAATTATAATATTTTAGTTATTACTACAATTTGTATCTAAGTACACCATCATGTCTTTTTAAATAAATTTGATTTCTTTGGGGGGTTGAAATGTTCATAAAAATATGTTTCATTTAATATTGTTTAAAGTTAAGTGTTATATAACTTGAATCTAATAAAAATATTTTAATAATTTTATATTATTATGGCGGGAAAGATAATTTCAAAATGGAGACACGAGCAACAGCAACGCGCGCGTGGCACTGACTGAACGGCTTTCAGCCTTTCAGAAAGCTTTGGATTAGTTAAAGCACCTTTACCTATTTGAAAGACATTTTTCAATAAGTTTAAGTTACATTACATATTACTATAATGTATAATAATCAGTTTCGCTCAGTATTACTGTTATATTCAAGTTTGTGAATATAATATGATTTCAACTAAATTCGAGACACTGAACATTTTAATTACCTAGTTTCTAGTTTTTCTAGTATCTCAAAAGCAGGGCTTTTAAAACAATATTTCTCCAAGTTTATTTTTGACAACATTCGAGTAACAATAAGTAGTATTGTATTTGACTTGATTAATTTAAAAATTAAATATATATTCGTATGTAGATATTTAAGTAAATTTTCACACACTGCCTTTCAAATAACGCTTCGTACATTATTGATGAGGATTGTCTTTTACACCAAGTCATAATCGTTATGAAGACCCTTACTTAAATTTTAATCACGAAGATATTAATAGTTTCTCTATATGAGGTCATTTTATTTAGGTATATTATTATGGAATAGATATAGCGCAGAAAAAATAAATTAAGAAAATAATAAAATACATTCCACGAGTTAACACCTATACTTTTACTTACATCTAAATAAAAGCAAAGTGTTTGAATTATTTATAGCTCAAATAGGTACTTTTAATATTTCTTTTTTTTAGATACTTTTACTTATTATGCCACAGAAAAAACAATACGATGATAATAAAGAAATCTTTAATTTCTAGTTACCCTAATTTGGTCTATTTATCAGGCTATTTTTGTTAGCTACAAGACGCTAAAAATGGAATTCGCGAAGAATACTAATATAAAAATAAAGATATTTTTTGGTGTTCACTTCTGTCGGCAGTTCGCATGATTGCATTTTTTTTCATCAAAAGTAGACAGATTTATATGACATGGTACAAGTGGAAAAAAGGGTTACCTTGAATCAATGTTTAAAAATTATTAATTATAATGTATAATTATTAAGGGTATCTACAATGGGGTAGCATTTGTTGACCCCCACCTGTCCATATGCCCATTTTACGTAAATTGATTCACTTTGGGTAACAATGCTTGATGTGTCAGTTCTCTTTTTTAATTAATTTGACAAAAGTGTCTTTAAAAAATGTTATATAACCTATATATTGTTATATCTTGCCTTATAAAATGGGATTAATGTAATAATTAATACTTATAAAAATTAATTAGATATAAAAAAAGGTATTCTAACTTATACTCGTAAATAACAACTTTTTTTAAAACTCTGTCATATTGCATAATATTCTATTTTTTTTAAGTGTCATACGTATAGCTTCAATGTATCGTTTGTAGCAAAAGGCAAATTTATTTCTATACCTGATAAATGATTAGGGTATACATTGTAATCGTAAATTGCCTTCGAATTTCTCAATCTGTTAGAATCTGGTAAAGCTATAGTGTATGTTTCCATTGAAACGTAAATTAACATTAAATAGGGCAAGGGCATAGTAATGATTAGTCTTAATAAAACATCTTTATGTGACGGAGGTAAAAAAAAGCTAGGTTTCCAATACAGAATTAAATTATTGTGAATATACTTTTTCCACGTGGTAAAAGTTTTGCAACAATATTCTTCTTTGTGCTCTCGTTCCTCGTTATCGTTACTATAATATCAGTCCCGATTGTTTTTCTTATTTAAAACTTATTAAGACAATATTTTGATGAATACATTGCAGCGATTACAGGAACTCCTATCAAGCGATTGACATCAAAGCGATAATTTTAATCGGAATAGTGACTGTGACATCGATTTCCTGTTCATGTTGTAAAGCAAATGTTTTGAACAACGCGACAGCCGAACTTTGAGCGTTAATTTATTCCTAAAAGAAGTAGAGGTTTCTAAAAATATTTTATAATAATATAGTATTTTATAGACTAAAATCATTTTTTTACATTCACGTAATTTTTTTAATTATTTACAAATAATGAATAAAAATATTTTGAATTTTTGTTTTAAATTATCTTTTCAATAAACATTTTTTTTTATATGGCTTATAGTTGCGTTAACAGACGCAATCCATTCTGCCAGTGTCACGTTTTGTGAGGAAGACACGAATGAGATTGAGCGGTAATTTTGAAATTTGGTAACTTTATTGTGGAATTAAAACTATAAATGAATGATCGGTCTACAAGAGTAACCTATAACAATAGAAAAATAATTACGTAATACAAAAATGACACATTGATTGAGAATGACAAAATATATACATAATGAGAACTATATTATAATTTAATTTTATTATCTACTATAAATTTAACTAGTTTTTTAATAAATGGGCTAAATACAAGGGCTAATAAACATTTGGTGTTAACTGGGCGGTGAATTTGAGGAGGGATTATATCATATAGAGAATATTTCAGTTTGGGACAATTAAAGAGAATATGATCAGTGGAACCCTCATCTAAGCCACATTCACAAATAGAGCTATTTCTAATTTTTAATTTTGCTAAATGAACCAGAGTACACGCATGGCCTAGACGAAGCCTACATATAATAGTGATTTTGCGGTCAGCACGGCGAAATCGAAAGAACTACGGGGAGACTGGAACCTCCGGTTGGATTGAGGCATAATACTTACCTTTAATTGTTTTAGAAGCGTTCCAAAATGTGTTCCAGGAAGTGTAAAGACTTTTTTTAGACAAAGAACGCAAGTTGTGGGAGTAATTATAGTAATGATTTAAAATTCCGCTAACTTTTGCAGATTTGGCACAGCTATCAGCAATTTCATTGTCGATAATACCTGAATGACTAGGGATCCAAGCCAAGGTTATGAGGATTCCTTGTTCATGGCAACGAAAGAGAACTTCTCTAATTTTAAATATAATAACAAACCTTAATTTACTACGGAAAGGGTTTTGTAAAAACATAATTTTAATGAGTCATAAAGTCAATGACATTTATATTGTCATGTAACGAGTATCGGGCGGGAACATCGTATGCCATCCGTTATAACCGCGAATTATGGCGGTTTGGCTTATTTTTCACTAATGATACCTGTACGTATAAGTGTCTATGTGGCACATTATTTATATATATAAAAGAAAGTCGTGTTAGTTACTTCGCTTATAACTCAAGAACGGCTGAACCGATTTAGCTGAAAATTGGCAGGGAGGTAGTTTAGAGCCAGGAGAAGGACATAGGATACTTTTTACTACTTTTTATCCCGTTCGACCGCGTTCCAATTTTTATGATATTTTAATTTTTGGATTTCTCTTAGTCCGGAATAGGTAAGTATTAAAACATATAATTAAAATGTGAGAAAGAAAGATTTTTTCTTTTTATATCTATTTAAAACGTACCTAGCGACGAACCCGAGCGAAGCGAGGGTGAGCCGCTAGTTATTTATAAAGTACCTATTAGTATTTAATTGAATATGCAGAATACATCGTATTTGTTATTAAAGCTTTAAAATAAAAGTTAAAAATATTTAAATTAATTTGTGTAGCCACAGATCCCATAATACTTTACTATAATAAGATACCTAGTTGTAACTTTTTTTGACTAGTCAAAGCAAACGTAATACATAATTTATATTTACAGTAAATTTAATTTATTTAGTAAAAAATACTGTGTGTATAATAAATCTGTTATACCAATAATATTTATTCTAAAATTGTAACACTTCGTTATTGTACTATTTGAATATTTCGTGTAAATTTTAGGACTAACAAGGGGCAGGTGAGGTTAGACAATGAAGCGTCGGTTGTGGTTCGTTGCGCGCCCGTTTTTTGGTTCACCTGAGTGTTATTTTGCGCATTTCCATTTTAATACGACTTTGATATATTATAGATTACTAGATTTAGAGACAACGATACTTAAATTTGAATACTAATAAATATAAATTATAATACTTATAAGTAATAAGTTCACTAAATTGTCTTATCTAATTAAGATGAAAATAAAATTGTACAATAGCTACGTACATTAGACTAGATGACATTACTTATACAAAAGTTAATAAAAAACAAAAAAAAAAATTATAGAAAATAACAAATCTAATATAGTCAAAATAAGTATTATCATCAAAATATCCATCGATATGAATTCTAATAAGTTCTGAATCAACAGGGCTGTTTACTTTTTTTTCCGGTATGATACCAAGATTACTTACTGTACTTACATTAAATATTTAAATTCTCAAATATAATTTCAAACCATGAACGAAGTAACCACTTCGTCCATGTTTTAAACCATGAACGAATTAACCACTGGACCAGACATGTAAGCGGACGTACCTTTAACGGTCATGTCAGTAACCAGGGAATTTTAGCCTAGGTCGTTTGTTTTTTGTGTCAGTCTCGAGCACTTACTTGTCAACAAAACATCGCCCAAAAATTACTAAATGTTTTGTTAAATGGTGTAAAAACTATAACGGCGGAAGCAACACTATTTCTTTTCACTTGTAAATACATTATTTTATTACATTTATTTTTATTTATCAGAAATTTTAATTAAATTTAAAAATAAAATGTCATATTATCCAACTATGTTAAATATAGTCGATATTTCTATGTATTGTTGACATCTGACAACCATCATAAACGGGCTGGATTATACCATTCAGAACAAATGACAAAACTGTCGAGTGAGTCCATTTGACATCTACTAGTGCTTGACAATGTCGAAAAATATATCGATATTTGACGAAATAACTGAACGAATTGTGTTATTTGTACAGTACAATAACATAAAATACTTTTATCACAGTATCCTACAATCTGATGACAATAAATTTATAAAAATATTTTCTAAATCAAATAAAAATATAAATGCAAAAATTATAATTAGTATGTGTACTTAATTTTTTATTTTATACCACATTTATATACTTTGGAATATTATTCCATTGTAATAATAATAAAGATCAATTTATTTCAACACATAAATTACACAAAATCAAACAATAATGTTTTAGCACTAAACTTCTGAGTTGGCGATTTGTAATAAAACACTTTACCACTTGCACTAATTATTTTACTTTCACGATCCAACACTCACTTTTTCACAATTTGCAATCACTTTTTCTTTTTCCTAATTCACAAATGTTTATTAATAACTGAGCAATATTAGGACAGTGTCACATTTTTATAACTACCCGAGACAATCAATTGCCAATTAAAATAGTTCAATAACAGAATCAACAAAATCACTTTATTTAATTAAATTAGCTTAATATTTTTTTAATCTTTACAAAATAATATTTAATATATATCAATGGAATATACACCAGATATTCACTTGTTTATTAACATTATTATAGGCCAACAGAATGTTGCCATCAATGCCATCGTATTTATATAAATCAAATTAAAAAATAATTATTATTTGACACATTATTATTATTATTGCCTCTTTAATTCATTTATTTTAATTTATTATAATAAATACAGATATTTTAAATTAAAAGATGTAAAATATGATGACTATGCTAACCAATGTCTAAAATGTCATTCATTGGTTCATCGATATATGTATTTTATCGATTACGTTCAAGCACTAGAAATATTGTATTGTGTATCAGTGTTTATAATAATGTAATAAAATCTTTGTGTGCGTCATGTGTCACTTGGTTGAACTAGTTTTCATACATTTGTATTTTATGTCAGGTCCAGTCTCTAATTCGTCCATGTTTTAAACATACAATGGAAACAGTGAATAGACAAAACAATAGTATTTCCTCTTCCTATTTACTTTGGTACTAGCTTAATGTAGCTTCTTTTAGTGTCAAAATTTGACCTTTGTTTTATTATCCAATTATAATTTTGGGAAACAGATGATTAAGTTTGATTAATTCACCTGTCTTAGTCTGTCTAAGCATTATCGGACCATGTAAAGATATGATATTTATTCAGTGAAATAAAATATACATTCTTATTTGAATTATTAACAGTTTTTCTAGGTTTCTAGACTAAGGTTCTATATCCAAAGGGTCCAGACGATTAACTCTAATTATTGCAACTTATTTTGTAACTTTGTTAATATAATTTAGATATAATTCGTTGGCTCACTATTACAAGGTTCTATGTTACAATTTTAGTACTTATTTAGTTATTAATGCTACAAGGTTCTATGTGTCATTAGCTACAGTTTTGCAGCACTTTAAGTACAAAATATTCAATTTTACATAGTTCTATGTCGTTATTTTTACGATAACAAAATAACGAAGTTCTATGTAAAAATTACTAAACTTCATTAAAATTAACATAAAACCTTATAATAGTGAGCCAACGTATGTATGTCAATACAATAACTTGATACTTTTACGTATAGTGTTTTTGGCAATGTTTGCCAAAAAAAACTAGAGCATGAGCTCATTTTATTCTTTGAGAAATCCCATTGTCTATAGTCGATGAAAAGAGTATTTTTTAAGTCTATAATTATTTATTAGATACAAAATATGCGTTTCTAAAATAAATGATATACCATGTGAACTAATTCGCCATTAATTGATTTTACTAATTGGTAATTTTCATATCAACTTTGATAATATTTGTTATAATATTGTTAAAAATATGACATAGTGCGAGTTTTCCCATTACTGTCGTACATTTTGTTCTTGACCAATATGAAAACAAAGAAAAGAAACTCCCATACATTAACTGTATCTACTACTCAATCTCTACACAAAGGTATCTCGATATTATTTTATTGTATGCGCTTTACATGGTAGTGAGACATAACTAGAATTTTCAATGAAAAATATGAGAACATTTTTTACAAATTCATATCATACGTCGTTCTATCTACTTTATGCATACATATATTCTCTTAATATATAAAATTCTCATGTCACAGTGTTTGTAACAAAACTCCTCCGAAACGGCTTGACCCATTCTTATGAAATTTTGTGTGTATATTCCGTAGTTCTGAGAATAGGACGTAAACTATTTTTCTATCTAAGTAATAAGGGTGGTCCACCCCAAAAAAAATTATTTTATTTTTTGGACATTTTTTTTTACTTTAGTTTTTTTATGATTCCGCACTAAAAATACATACAAACCTATACCCGAGCGGAGCGAGAGTAAGTCACTAGTATTATCTATATAAAGATTGTTTTTATTAGTTTCAAAAAATTATTACTTGTCAATTGAAGTGTATATTATTTTGTTTTAATTATTCAGTTTTATGTCGAGTTTTGAGAAATACCAAGGCTTGTTAATCAAATCGATAATATACATATCTTTTTTATTATGAACTCTTTACAACTAAGTTTTTCGGTACAAGACTTTATTTTAAAATGTAGTCATTCACACTATATTGTAATTGTATACAATTAACTTATAATATTTAAGTCAATTATAATTTATATTTAATTTAATTTATTTAATACAACTTATATTGATTTATTCACAATAAGTAAGTGGTATCTAGCGTTGGTTTTCGTAACACGGAAAAAAGACAATGTAAACCTAGATTAGGATCAGAATTCTCTGCAAGTCTGGTATTTAAAAAAAATACTACAATTTAAGCGAACCGTAACGAACTTCAAAACCTATGTACACCATAGAATTACCATGGGCCTTCAAAGTGACCATAGGCTCAGTGGACAGGTAAAAACAATTGCCATAATTATTATAAGTGCCGGACGTGAGCTCGAACGCCCAGTCCGCTGTACGCTGCCTCCACGGCATGTTGAATTTTCATTTTAAATTTTTTTTAATATACAACACAGATAAAAAATGCATAGATAGATTATATAGGGTTTATTTATAGGAAACAGGTTCTGCGGTCAGTGCCTCCCAGTGTAGATGCCCTAGTGCATTCGCTTCAATATGGAGAGAATTATTATTTTGGTGAGTAAAATCTATAATGTATTTCTCTTTTTATAAATAATTAAACAAATAATAAGGTATTTTGAATAAATACAAATACAATTACCTTCTAAGGTCACATACTCCTCAATAATGTATTGAAAGATAATGTTTTAGTTAGGTATACCTACCCATCGAATTTTAATTTTTTTTGACATTTTTTATAATTTTGTAATAAATCTAATATTATAGTGTCAAATTAAAAATTTTATTTCAAAAATATGAAAGGAAATAGGCCTTTCAATTATAATTTTAAAGTTTACTACATATTAAAAAATATAATATGAAAATTTTGAAAGATAACTCATATAGGTGCCTTTTAATTCAACGAATATGAAGCATATTTTATGGTAACTACATATACGAGTATAAGTTTAGATGTGGAAGGTAAAATCCGGGAGTAATGACTCGATTTTTATATATTTTGGCTAACATAAACAAATAACTTAAATTATTATTATTATTATTTTACAAGAAATATAATATACAATATCAATTTACAATGAAGGTTTTTAGGAACTGAGTGGCGCAAGGGTTATCAACATACAGACAAAGACATGTCAGCTTAATGGACGAATGACGATGTTATAATATATTATATATTATATTTTCAGAGCTTAAGCTATTACGTGTGACCTTTACCGCCTTTAGATACGATATTCTTTTTCAGTGTCAATGCTATAATTATAAAGCGATTAGCGCAAACAAAATAAATATTTTTTGCTTATTTTTACTACAAAAATATGAAGCTTCTCAAATATAACTTTTATGATACATTCAAATACTTTTTGACACGTATTTATAAGCTTCACATGAAACTTTTAAGCTATTTCCAATTGTTGTATTGATTTTCAAATCAAGCTTATAAAGCCCGGAAATAGCTTTCTTTTATACAGAAAAAATTAACGTTTTTAAAATGTTATACTTATAAGTATGTACCTAGTATATACAAAACAATTGCGTCAATCGCAAACAAAAGCTACTTTTATTTTATAATAATTACTAGTGACTCACCCCTACATACGTTTTAAGGTTTAGTATAGATTTCTCAGACATGAGATATTTTCCCGTAGTAAAAAGTATCCTATATGTTGACCCGGATACCTACCCAGCTATCATCATACCAAATTTCATAAAAAATTGTCCAGTGGTTTTCTCGTGATCCGTTGTCCGTTGTCACAATTGGGCAAATTATGAAAAGGCTGTATAAAAATCATTACACTGTCCATCATTATCTGATTATGCATAATTATGTAAAAATAACATAATTAATATGTAAATACGTAAACTGCACTCATTGAGCATGACCTCAGGAAACAATGGTGCGACGTCACGGGCCCCGAATGCAGGCCTTGGAGTAATTGTTATACTATTGTATTTTTTTTTCGAACACGTTAATTAATTATATTATTCAGTAACTAGGCTAAATTAAATAAAAACGTTGCTAATGCACTACACAATTAAAATATTTTAATTGAATTAGTATAAAAAACTTATTTTTTATTGGCGTCTCACCCTCGCTCCGCTCGGGTTTGTCCCTAGTTACGTTTTAACGTCTAGTAAAGATTTCTCAGAGATGAGATTTTTTCCGGCAGTAAAATGTATCCTATATGTTGACCCGGATAGCCAGCTATTATCATACTCATCAAAATCTGTCTAGTGGTTTTCTCGCGAAGCGGTTACAGACAGACAAAATTTCTAAGAACTATAGATTCGGAATCTGTATCGACAATAATGTTTATTTCGATAAGATTTTCCAAAAAATATTTAATATACAGATTCGACTCAGAATTTTATTATATATATATATAATATTATTATATTTTTATGTACGCCCTGTTTATGTAAGTTTATTGTGGAATATACGTATATTGTCTAAACTTATATATTATGTAATATATATTTATGTATCTGTTTATTGTTATTTATGTAACCTTGTGTGTAATTTATAGTATAAGTAAGTATGTTATATTGTTTTTTTTTGCACCAACCTTTATCCATTCTCCCCTAAGAGTTTCTTTAGGTTTCTTTTAGGTTTATGGGTTGCCTGGAAGAGATCACTTTAAGTGATAAGGCCGCCATTATACTGAAATATTTTGTAAAGTGCTGTATTGTTTTAAAATTGTATTTCTTTTTTGGCGTAATAAAGAATTAAATAAAAAAAATATATCTAAAAGATTACGTAAATTAAGAAAAGCTTTGTTTTCGATAAATACTGAAGGCGATATAAAGCTTTCTCATATAGTTTTATGCTTAGATTCAATTTTTATGTTTTACAGAAAACTCATTTTAGAATTGAATAACTAATAATTATTTACAAATAATATAGTAATGCACACTTTAATCAGTCAAAAACTTCCGCTTCTACGGACAATTGTTATTATTTTTAACTAAATATGGATGCTTTTGAGAGTATTTTGTTTCTATCAAAGCAAGATATATTTTTACCATATTATGAGATTACGCCCAGGATACGAGTATGTAACCACCATAACTCAAGGCATTATAACTGTACGCCACCAATATGTCAATCATTCCCCAATAAATTAATGTAAATTAAATTTAATATTACATTTTATAGCATAATGAATATATCCCGGAAGCAAAACAACGAACAAAAACAAACACAACAATCATTAATTACGAGTGCTATTAAAAAGCACATCATTACTTAATGCAACTTAAGTTAATTATAAAATTGAGTGATGCTTAGATAAACAGTTATTAGCAGTTAATTTTATTTTAAACTATAATAAAATTATATTTTTTTAAATTTATAAAGATTTTAGAATAAGCCAAATGTGTAAAAAATACTAATAATATTTAAAAAAAAATAGCTCCGTCTTTGTTAGTTTAGGGAAATTACTTATATTAGTAATAAGTTATACTATATTTACAATATATACGATTAGTCAGACAGGCAACATGTTTGTGCATCGTAATATGTTGTGCATCTTTTTTTTAAGCATATAATAAAATTGTAACTAAGCCGAATCTGTACATTAAATATTTTTTTGGAAATTTTATTGAAACAAACATTATTATCGATACAGAGGCCGAATCTATAGTTTTTATAATTTTTGTCTGTCTGTCTGTTACCGCATCACAGAAAAACCACAGAAGGGATTTTGATGAAATTTGGTATGGTGATAGCTGGTTATCCGGGTCAATATATAAGATACCTTTTACCACGGGAAAATATCTCATTTCTGAGAAAAAATACAAAAACTGCATTGTAAAAGTATACTAATATGTAAAACCTAAGAATTTGGTTTTTGTCATCTGAACGCGCTTTATTTCTTGTGTGGTGTGCAATAAAGTGTCCATTATTATTATTATGATTATCATGTTTGACACTAATACATATTTGACTTATTTGATTTCAGATATTACCTTTAGTGCTATATATTGCACAATGTCAAGGAGAGAATGATGAAGATACAATATTGTCGGCAGTTTTAACACCAGATAAAAATTTAATTCGACAAGAGCGAAGTTATTACGAAAGATATGGCCGTCCATATGATAGATTAGAAGATAGACCATCAAGATGTGGTCGGTGTGATGATGACGACGACGATGATGACTATGATAGAGGTCGTGATAGAGATGATGACAAGAGATCTAACAGACCAACTTATGGTGGTCGGCGTGACAAAAATAAAAATTACGATGATGACGAGAGGAGGTACGATAATGACAGAAATAAAGGCAACAAGAACGGAACCGATGATGATAGTGATGACAAAAAACGGCCATATGATGATGACAAAGACAGAGATAGGCATAGCAGTAGGAAAAAGCACAGAAACCGCTATGATGATCGGGATAGATATAGACCTGATTATTATGATAGGTTCTTGCGAGACCCGTATAGGGATAGATATGATAGGGATAGATACGATGATCCTTATTCCAGACGGCCGTACAGTAGATATCCGGATAGATATGATGACTATGGAAGATATGACGGATACGCGTATACAGGATACAGAAGACCAAGTTACGATGATCGATACGATAGAGGCACTGGTTATGATGACTCATTTGGCGGATATGGACCGAGAGTAGATCGAGGACCTCATGATAGGTGAGAAAATTAGAATTATATTTGTATTTAAACAGAGTACTTAAAATTGAATTAAAAAAAAACTATTTGTTCTTTAAAAATTTGATAATTCATATAAATAACTTATTCAATAAAAAAATTAAGTTATTAAAGCTTAAAAATCAACATCGTTTCACTTTACAATTACTTAAAAGTAATTTTATTACTATTTGAAGTAGTAGTTACGCTAATTAATATATTGACAGAAAAAACAAAAACAATAATTTAGTTAAACAATAAGCGTTTTTTTTGCGTTTTGTAGTGTAATTTTCAGTACTTAGAAATTCTACTTTTTAATCTAAAACTTGAATAATGCTAAAATGGAGAGTATTGATAAACGTACAATTTTCTACCGTTATTTTTCAATCAGGTCACAGAACAATGACATTGAATTCTATTGAAGTGACATTAAATTCCTACATCAATAGTTTCATGCTTTCTCCTGAAATTGGTCAAATCCACATATTCAATGAGCGAATAATAATAATAGATCGACTCATTAGTCGTTACATTTAACGTTATAGTTTTGTTAACTGTACAGTGTACATTACATGTAATTTTCAAACAAAACTTCTACGGTGGCTTAAAATTTTAATAGTAATTTAATTCTTCACGCTATTATAATATGAACATAGTTTTATACTGTATGTACATTGTACATCATATATATTTATCAAAGAAAACGTGATCACGTCCTTTATCTCGGTCGCATACAAAGTTTTTACTTTTTTTTTTAAATATATAATATGAATCTCGGAATCGGCTTCAACGATTTTCATGAAATTTAGTATACAGGGGGTTTCGGGAACGATAAATCGATCTAGATTAGTCTTATGTCTGAGAAAACGCGTGTTTTCGAGTTTTCATGCAGTTTTCTTTTGCATTATTCCACGCAAAATATGGTCGGTAATTTGCACGCTCGGGCATAAGCATCATGGTCAAGCGGCTAAGGTGCAAAATCAACAATCACAGGTGTCCAGGTTCGGACCTCGGTGGTATACAAAGTTTTTATTTTTGTTTTTATTAATTTTTATTCTAGTTTTTAGTTTAAAAAAAAAGAAAATTGTACTTTAGGCCAAAAACTCCGAGCGAAACTCGGTAGCCCAGGTACTAATACTAATGTAAGTATACCTATATAAATAAATAATTACTAGACGTATTTCTATAAGGCATGTTAAATACCTTTTTTGGTACTAACAAGCTCCATCCTTTGGCCAAATTTATACACTCATATCATAATCAACTTAAGAAATAAACACCATTTGTTCTCTAGCTGACACTATAAAAATATATCGTGCATTTTCATTAGAAGGCGTTGCCTTCCATACGTTTTGTTTAAATTAAATGCCACTTTAGAAACGTTTTTTACTCATATTTACAGAAACATTTGTATTCTACGGATATTGATCTTCTGTTCGTGAAGAATTACATATTTACATACGTTGAATCACAACAATTAATTAGGAGAACTGACGCTCATACCTGATAATTATCCAATTTGTTACGTGAGTCTTGACAACGCAACATAATTTATCGTCGGACATTAAAATAACATCAATTACTTCATTTGGAAATTTTCATATCCGGAGAAGGAACCATTAGGTAATATTGGTATGTAGGGCCGTTTAATGTGTAGAATATATTTTTTGTTTTGGATTAGAACGATACTAAAAGCTCTGTAAGAAATAGAATATAGGTAATAGGTAAACAATTTATTGTCTGTAATAGGTTTCGTAATTCAACCTTCTAACTTATCGACCCATATAAAATATTTAATATGCGATATATTATATTTACCTGTAATCGTCGTGGTTTTTATACAAAATACGTATGCTATATGTAGTATGTACCTAATATTCATGTATGTATTTTTCATGTTCAAGAGGGAATAGAAAGTAAAAAAGAGTTTTTTTTTCACTTTGTGTCCATAATACTAAAATCACAAAATCAATAAATTTAAAAATCCATAATAAGAAAGAAAGAACAATATGAATATTATAAATTACGTGAATGTCTTGTTACTAGCGACTACTAGCACTTAGTGTATTGTGTACCTAACTAAAAGATCTCATTGAAATAGTATCTCTGACGTATAAACTATATTATTGTAAAGTCTCATCAAAATCCGTTCAGTAAATTTTGCGTGAAAGAGTAACTTACGTACATCCAATACATCCACGCAGTTTTCGCGTTTATAATGTTAGATATTTATATATATGGAGCAGGATATTTAATATTAAATTAAATAAAACTATCTTTTCGGATTTTTTCGCGGATTTATTTTGATTTTTGATTCCCGACGTTTCGAATGCTTTACATCAATCATGGTCACTGGAGAGACTAAGGTTTTAGATGTCTCAAAGGCATTATATAGTGGTTATATAATTTAACGTATTTAAATTTTAAAAAATTGGTGCCATTTTAAAATTGTTAAAAAAATTTAAAATGGCACCAAATTAATTTTAAACTTAATTAACTAAAAATTGCTTAGTATTTTGAATAAGTAAATATAAACTTATTAATACTAATTAATCCTGCTTGTGAATATTTTTCATTTTGATCACGTGTTCCGTGTTCAGTCGTGAATTGGTTTTTGCTACTGTTATAAAGAAGAATTCTGACCTGCAAAAATAGGTAGGTGTTTTGTTTTAAAAGTATATCATTTTATGTTAATGAAAGAGATAAGGAAATTAAATAAAGATGTGTTATTATTACAATTTTGAGTCGAGACTAAAGTTTTTTTCCCATGTTTTTTTTTAAATTGAACAATTTTTGCAAAAGCATTTAATAACTCTTTGATGTTTTAAAAATATTTAGATATATTATATCTACTCAAAAATTATTTAGTATTTAAAAAAAATAGAGTAATTAGCTTATACTTATCTTATTATTTTTTATAATTTTTGCTTTAACAATTTTTATCTACCAATTTTTAATTACTAAATAGCAAAGACCTCGTAACTTCTTGCAATACAGTATGCTCAAATTATTATCATGCAATAGAAACACGGATAAAACTTAATTAGTTAAACAGTTTTTTAGGTAAAACCAATTAAGAAGATTATTAAAATCTTTAAATCTTTCGCATATATAAGAAGTATTATAATCTTCCTATATAATACCGCCTTCATACATTTCCGACATGATTACCACTTGTCTTAACGATGAAAGAAAACATCGTGAGGAAACCTGCATGTCTAAGAAAACCTAGCAAATTTTCAAAAGACATGTGAAATCCGCCAACCCGCACTTGCCCAGCAGTGTGTGAGTGGGACGTTAAAAAGGGCTGAATACATATACATAATATAATACCTACTTTTATGTGCGAAAACCGTATGAAACTGAGCGTAATTTCTGAGATAACCCCAACTAATCTATATTAATATTATAAAGAGGAAAGGTTTGTTTGTTTATATGCATCGAATAGGCTCCGAAACTACAGAACGAATTTAAATAAAATTTGGTAAGGAGATAGTTTGAAACCTTGAGGACATAGGAGAAGGAGTTTTTGTACGGGAAATCATCCCTTAAAGGAGTGAAAATGGGAATAAAAGTTTGTATGGGGAAGCAACATAGGGACCAACTCGAGCGAAGCGAAGGTGAGTCGCTAGTACAGTATACGATGCCATTAAAAGAGAATATTTTTTTTAGTTTCAGGCCATGGGATGAGACTTATCGAGGTCAATCTGGCTGGGACACTAGTGGTAGGGGCTATTACTTCGCGTCTGGAAGACCAGACGCTAGCGCGTGGGGACAGCGTGAATATTCTAGGTAATAAATGGGTTAGACATTAGGTATTAGTTAGGTTATTTTAAAAACATAAGAATAAATCAATACAGAAATCACGCTACTATTATATAAATGCAAGTGTTTATATGTGTGTATGTATGTTTGATATTCCCTCACACTGAAAAACGCTGTATGATTTTAAATGATGTTTACTTCACATATAGACAGGCTACTTTTAGTAAAAAAGATGCCAAAAGATGGCGCTGTCTGTACATAATATTACTATAATCACAAAAGGCGTAATTACGTAGGGACGCAACCGAGCAAAACGATGATAATTCTCTATAATTTCTATATCTATTTTTGTTGTCTTGTTTAGCTGGTCGTAACATAAGAACAAATATATTTTTTTAATAATAGAAGCTAAAGAATAATTTTAAATAAAAATAGTATAAATAATAAATATTAAACCATATACAGTTACTTCACCAGAACCCTCACTTCTTTCCAGACCGGCATCTGGTGGTTGGCAGGACGTTGGCTACAGTGGATACTCTAACGGATACGCTGGCTACAACACTAACCCCGGATATAATAATGCCGGATACAGAGCCTCTAGCGGATACGGTTATCAGGACATAAACGCGGGATATGGACAGTCTAGCGGATGGCGAAATGTTGGAGAGAGAAGACCTTATAGAGATCAGAGGTGTGACAGATAAAAAAATATATTAAAGGCATATTGTATAATAGAAAATATTGTAAACACTTGAGTTTACAATACCGTTTTAATCACTAATGTGAAGGCTTGTCTTATAAGTGGTGTCATCCAAAAATTATTTAATATGAAGAAAAAAAAATAAAGAGAAACAACAAAAAAAAATTACCGTAATATTAAATAGTAAACGATTTTAATTAAGAATAACTTTTGTTAAATCTAATATAGTTTATATGTAAACACACAAATCTGTTACAAACCGACAAAAATGATGGCGATTCTGGAAACTTTCCACAAAGTGAATGTTTGTTATGATTAAAATTTTACCATGTTCTAAAATAAGTTTAAAAAATTGTCCTTAAAAACTCCACAACCCAAAACAAATAGCTACATTTAAAAATTAAGTATTATTTATTATTTCCAGTGGAGTAGCAAATCTTGATAGAAAACCTCAAGCTCAAGACAACCGTTACGGACAAAGCCAACATGGACAAATAATAACTTACCAACCTGGAACATACTCGTATACTCAAAGCAGCACTACACCAGCCAGTAGTTATTTGTTCCAGAGGGAAGACGAAATAGTTACACAAGAAACGACTCTACCGCCATCTTAGATTCGCAATTTTTTGACATAAGCGTCCGCCTCAATTTTCCCGCCTTTTTCTATATATAGATTAAATATATTCCAGTGTATTACGAAAGCATCAACTTTTATGTTGATTTTTTATTATATTTTTAACATAATATTTATAAATAAATATAGTATAGCTGCAATAAGGAAAAATTGACAACCTTCCAGCGCCTTTATTACATTTATCCTACAGCATAAGAAAGTACAGTTTTTCAATAGCCTTTTAAATTATTATTTTATATTGACCATACAAAAAAACAGTCTTCTAAATTAATAGAATGGTAAAAAGAGTTGCCTTGTTTTGTCCTTTCTAACTCTCAAAGGACAGTATGATCTAATATTTGTTAGCTTTTAGTGCGAAGTTTAACTATATTATAAAAAAAATACATTATTTATAATATTTTCATATGTGGGTAAAATTAAAGAAATTCTGAGATTATGGATGTTTTTTTTCGTATGTAAATAAGTATAAGCTTATAACTGTTTTTAATGTTATAACTCCTAAGTAAATGAGAATAGCTGTACTACAGAGCATAAGGTTTTGTACCTAATTGGTATTCTTGTCACATACCTACATAATAATAATAGATTTATTTTTATTACTTAAAAAATAAACACTAGACCAGATTTGAGATTGAAAGTCTATTATCTAGGCACACATTTCATCCACACATCCTACATGGATGTACCCATAAATGAAGAACAAAGGTGGAGGCTTGTAGTAGTAAATGAAAAAACGAAATTAGTGTAATTAGTAAAGCGTGTGTTTAGCTTTGCTGCTTATAAATGTCTGATAAGAGATGAATGACCTCACTTATCAATGTGGTCGTTTTATTACGTAATCTACTCGTAAGTGCAGTAAGAGCAAGTCTAATGATATAAATCTTTACCTGTTATCTACCTGAATTCAGCCTTCGACACTGCTCTATACATTTATTCTATCTATAATCGTATTATATGTTGTAATCTCAGACTATGGAATAATATAAACAAAGTGTCATAGAACTAAACATGAAGTCAATAAGCAACAATAAGGTTTTAAAATAGAATACAAATAGCATTATGTATACAGAGTGCTGAGTATATAAAATGTTCATGAATGTATGTAATAAATGTTAATGAATAAAAATTAAAAACAAAACGCGTGTGTGTGTACTTATGTACGCGCGTAAGAAGTTACACTTCTTTGGCGTAACAGAACAAAAATAGGTAAAGATTTCATCCCGCATATCACAACTCTTTGTTTGTAAAAAAATTTTACTCTCATAATTTTTTCCATACGTGCCAAAAGAAGTATAACTTTAAAAATACTGTAGATTTTATCATTTATTTTAGCGGACTGTGTCTGAAAAATTCTTAGTATGTTTTATAGCTAGTATGTTTTATAGTTAGTATGTTATATATATATATATATATATATATATATATATATATATATATATATATATATATATATAATAGCTATAAAACAAAACTTGTTAATGCAAATTTAAATGTACCTATACAAAATAATATTATAAATAGTAAATACTTCTCGAAAATCTTATATTTAATATTTACTAATAAAAATTATTTTTGAGTTGAATGATTAAGCTCTCGAAAAATAGAATTTTACTCAATATTTTCAAAAATAGGCGAAGTTATAATAAATAATATTATCTAAGACCATCGCTATTCCTAATCAAATGATTCAGCCATATCTTCAAGAACGTAAATTACAAGTATATCGAACAATTAACGATACGATAAAATGATATTGTTTCTACTTCGAGTTTGATATAATCGCCCACTTTGCCCAATATCCTTGTAAGTTTTAACACGTCGATAAAATAATTCAATTGATCTTAATATAAATTGCTTATTAAATTGTGTTATTTGTGCTCAATATTTAATCTGTATTCAAACTCTTCTTTTAAATATATGTAGAAATACTTTTATTTATTTATTTTTTAATTTAAAAGAAGAGAAAGATACAGATTAATTACTATATTCGTTTCGGTTCTAAGGATTTAAAAATATTTTAAAAATGACGGATCAAGACTCAGTGCAAGTCGCAGAGTCTAACGCGACTACAGTGCAAGTGGTACATGAAAATGCTGAGAATTCCCTTCGACCACCCGCCGAAAAAGCGTAAGTTATTTTTTTTCCTTAAAATAATTATTTCAAAGCTGAAATATACTACTGCACAGATTATATAGAGCCAATGTTTATTTTCCGAATTTTAATTATCTTTTAAATATTTGATCTATTAAATTATTGAATATTGAACTATTGAAATTTATTCTGTTCTAGGCGGAGTAAAATAAAACATTTTTAATTATCCTCGAAATCATTTAAACCAATTAGCGCTTAAGACATACATTTTTATCACTAATAAAGCAATAAATGATATAAATCATTATCGCTTACGTAAACCGTAATCTATCGAGTGTAATATGTACGAGTGTATATATATATATATATATATATATCGTATATATATATATATATATATATATATATAAAACTAATATACGAGTATGTTTGTTTGCTTTCAACATATTAAGTGAATCACAAGCAATTGTGATTTAGATTTCGATGAAACTTCGTTGAGATATATATTGTAATTTAATAGATACACATGGCACACATATAATTTTTTGAATAAACTAAACCTAAAGTATTGCTATTAAAATTTAAATTTTACAGGTATAATTATTATTTAAAAATATATACCTATGTATATTGTATACTTTACACACGTGCGAAGCCAGGGTGGGTGGTAAGTTAACTTATAAGTGTAATTGTATTAAATATCTTAGATAAACATATTATCATATTAATTCGTATTTTATTATATACATGTCGTCTGTACAATATGTATGTAACAAAATTGTAAGTGGGTCAATATTATATGTATATTCAATTTTAAAAAAAATCAAAAATGAAGGAAAGGATATCTATTTTTACATACAAAATTCTAACTCAATCGAATCTGTACATTAAATATTTTTTGAAAATCTTTTTGTAATAGTCATTATTATCGATACAGATGCTGAATCTACAGTTTTAGAATTTTTGTCTGTCTGTCTGTAACCGCATCACGAAAAAACCATTGGAGGGATTTTTATGAAATTTGGCATGATGATAGCTTGTTATTTATTTATTTTTTAACGTTGGGAAATGCATTTACGCACGACGTAATACAGCCAGTACTACCCACTAAAACCCAACAAAACCTTCCCCCGTCTTAATGGGGCGTCGCAGGATCGCTTACGCATTAAACTACGATGCCCCGACGGCAGGTCTGCCAAAGCAGACCACCACAACCATGGGGTTGCTCCAAGGTCCACTCTGCTAACTGAGAAGTACCAGGAGCAACCCGCAAGGTACACCGCCCCCCGAAGAGGGCCACCTCCCACCGCCCACCGAAGTGGGCAACCTCCCTGTGCGTTTCTTAGCTTCGCGCCCGGTTGGATTGCCGGGCACTACTGAGCCCCCCCACCACGACAACATATAGTATACTTCTTTCTGCGGGAAAATATCTCATCTTTGAGAAATCTATGCTAAACGTTAAAACGTATCTAAGGCCGAACCCCAGCGGAACGAGGGTGAGTCACTCGTTAAAAATATATTTTTATTTTTTAATTGGTTTTAATATAGAACTTTATGTCACCTAGAAGAAGTCCTCAAATTACTCGTAAATAACGTTCCACTGTCTATTAAGCGGGCGATTAAGACATTTTTAATGTTAACTAATTTTTTAAATTATGCTAATTTAGAAGATATGCGGAAACAGCTTCATATGCAAATATACATACATGCATAGCTTGCTGAAAATATCACAACCCTCCACAGAAAATTCGAAGAAAAAATTACAGTCTTCTCCTAAAATACATTATTTATATAGTTGGAAATTCCTTATTCATTATTAGGAGTTAGTAATCTATAGATAATAAATGATAAAATATTTGTATATTTGTATATACAAATATTTTATCATTTATTAATTTTGATATAAATGGACACAATACCAAAAACATGGGACATCACTAGAAAGATTATTTAAAAAAAATAGCCATCTTACAATTCCTATTATAAGAGATGTACCTACTTACGTAAATTTTATATAGGTTTAAAAGATTTATTTTATTGATAATTAAAAAGTTCTATAAATAATATAATATTATAATATTATTCTTCATACTTAAATTGAATGAATTTTGATGAAGCTGATAATAAGTAGATGCAATTAAAAAAGTTTAATTTTAGTAGAAAAAAAGATATAGTTTATGATAAAATACCATAAAACAGCCAGCTTAGAAGAAATACCGGTCAAAAACCTAATCGATTTCATATTATAATAGGCTTCTAATATCGTAAATATCATAAAACGCTAAAAGCATCGATAACAAATATTGCATGGCTTATATATTATGATAAATGATTATTATCGATAGTAATATATTTGAAATAGTATACTATATCGCCAGTATCAGTCTCATTGGCTTAGGGGTTAGCTTTACGGACTGAAACCAAAAAGTCCTAGGTTTAAGTCCTATGTCAGATCAAAAGGTATTAAAATTTTCTGTTCATGGAGTATGAGAGAAAAAAATGACAGACTTTCGCACAGATGATTAGAGGTAACAGGTAGAATAAAATAGAATTTAAATTTGAATGGATTTCAAGCATTTTAAGATGCTATGACTCAATGCTGGTCAGGAAGACCTACTTAAGGTAAATTCAGTAATAGCAATTTTTCTCTTACCGCCAGTAAACTTGATAACTAATAGATATGTATGTTTAAACACTCGTTGACATGTCTATATGTTGATAAAATCAATGTAAGATCATAAATAATTGATGACATATATGTAGATTACACATGGACACTTTAGGTTAAATTGATCAATGGTCAAGAATTCATCTTAATTGTACTTCTATTCAGAATAATCAAGGTTGCTACTTAAGTGCCCCATATTAAATATTCAAACGATTGGC